AATAGCAACGGTATGGTAGACAATGAGCTGTTTACTCGGTTGGTAAAGCAACGCCAACCGCATCAACAGCAACAGCGTATAAAAAATATGCAAACTCTGTCGCCCGCTGCTGATGTCCTCTTCAATGCGAGTTTGATGCAGAATGCTAGTGCTGGAGTGTTTCCTAGTCACACGGTTATGCCAATTCCAGTGGCCGTACCGCCACCGTTGTCCATATTTGACAGCGGTTTAGGACTTAGGAATGGCACAACTGCTAGAAGGTCTGGCCCATCTCGCATACTATTCTTAAGACTGGAACAAACTTATGAACAGTTCAAACAACTCGAGAAAGAGCGCAAAAAATGTGAGGCTGGATTGGCTGCTCACTTCCCTGGAAAGAAGGTTACGAGTGCTAATAACATACCAATTCCAAGACTCCAGGGCAGTCCATCCAGAGTAGACCGCCTCATTATTGATCATTTTCGGGAACATGCCCGCGTTATCACACTCATAGCAAAAGTAAGTTCTTAAATCGTTTAAGTAAATCTTTCGATAGATAGTAATTTTTGTGTTCTCAATCAACATTCATCGCGATCAAGATTATCTTAAAATAGAAAAAAATACTCTTTTTTTTAATACCGATTTCATTGAAACAAATATTATTCGAGTAGATGCAATATAAAATATTATAAAGTATATATCAGGTCAATTACTCTTATGTTGATAATTTGAATAAAGATATTTAATGCAACAAACGTTATGGTTAATTTATTCAATGTTAGATGGAACGACTTCGTGGTGCTGACATGAATCAACGTGTGCATAAAGCTATGGAACACTGGCTCGAAGCTATTAAATTTGTTCAGGAGTGTCGCAAACAAGAAATTACCAATGCCGCTAAAAGACAAAAAGGAAATCTACATTGCATTTCTATCCATGACGATAATGGTATGTGAAGAATTTATTTATTTAGACTATAAGACAAGTTTTTTTACTGTCCATTTGTTAAAAATCAATGAATGAAGTTGAATTATTTTAATAATCCTTGGACAGTGTGTATTCAATCTTAACATATTTTTCATTATCATATTAAATAATTATAGTCACTAAATGTACAGTTTCAGTTTGATTAAATAAACAGAAACTTCGGTATATACAAATTCATATACATTATTTTATGTATATGCCATTGTAAAACAATTTGAATGAAGTTTTAGATTTGAAACACGTTGCACAATCTTTAGTGTTTAACGTACAAACTTATAGAAATCGATATACGACTAGTTTATAAGATTGCACTTACTATTGTTTACAGATATATTAGCGTTAGCCGATAGCATTTACAAACTAACAAAAGCTTCACGTTACGCAAGAACAGCTATGTACAACGCCATGCAAACGACGCTTCTTTACAACAGTGAAATTGAAACGAAGATCATCGAGACACATCAGGACGTTGTAATAGAGCTTCAGCCCAAGGAACCTGAAGTTGTGACTAATGAGTTTCCATTACCATTGGTACCGTTAGTGCCGTTGGTGCCTCCTTCAGAGCCTGAAGAGATCGCTATCGCTGAAGCAAAAGATGATAAAGCAACTGTCGACGAAGCTGCTGCTGCTACTGCTACTGCTACTGCTACTGCTATTGCTACTGCTGTCGCCGGAAATCGTACTTAAAAGAAATGTAAGCCAAAGCGAAGCAGTCGGAAACTTGTGCAAAATGGCTCTTCTATGCTTGTTCACACTCACTGTGAGTCTGTTCCTTTTCAAAGTTTTCGGCGCCTAATCTTTTCCAAGCTTTTCTAATAGTTTATCAATGGACGAAATTGGTAGTCATAAAAATGGAGTTAAGGGCAAATGATAATTATATTAAAAAATAATACTCATAATATTCTTGGTGCTAACCAAGTTAACCATTGCTCGAAACGCAGAACCTCGAGAGCTTTCGTTTGATGTCATCGTATTGTTTTATTAAAATTGTCTGTATAGAAACATACAACAATGTTCTGAATGTAACGATCATGCGAACGTGTGCTGCTTCGTCATCTAAGGACGAAGAAAAAAAAAATAAAATCGCGTAATTGCTCTGGAGGTTGGCAGCGGCACCTCTCACTGCACCGGTTAACTTTTATATTTGTTACTCGTGATTCCGTAGTTTTTTAAAACAAAAATGCGCTTTCAATATGTGTACCCGATGCCGAATTCGCACACCTGGACCCATATTGAGTATTGATGATTCAAGTGGTCGGTCCACGGTATGTCGTTATATCGGCTATTTTAACGCACGAAACTTCCAGTCAGACTAAAAAAAATTAAAACTTGGCTGGGGATACGACGCAGCGAGAAACGTTCCATGTGCTTTCTATTTCGATGATATTTTTTCGTTCATTTTTCTTCTACTAAAACATTTGGTGTTGATTTGATTGCATATTAGAGATTCAATGTCAAGGATTATTAAGATTGTAATATTTGATTTTATATTTTAATTATAGACTGGAATTGTTATTTAATTGATTGAATAAGAGTTGTGATGAATCTTGATAAACTTTTGCACGTAAATACATTTTACAATTTAATACTACAGCTTGGTATTTGCCATCAAAAACTTTAATCAAGTGACTGTGGATTTAACTTTATAAGAAAATAGATAACGTTTAATGTCGTATTTGACAAATTTTGAAAGTTTGCATTTTTGTATTGGTTAATAAAGTAAAACTGATTTTTTAGGTGAAAATTTCATAAGAAGGAAAAAACATTGCAAATTGATATGTAATTTTGATTATTTATATTGAAAGGGTTCGAGCCTTTCTTGCTGCTGCGTGAGTTAAACTTGAGCCGGATTTTCTACCACAATTTGCTTATAACTAGATGAAAGTTTCAGGTCAATCTCTGGGTCTATACCACCGAGTTTTACCGAATGTGTTAGTTCAATCGCTAGATACAATTTGTTAGAATAGTTCAATGTGGCCTTCCTTAAGTATGTGACCCATATGATGCGTGTGTGTGCTAATCGATGCGATTTCAAAGCTGCGAAAAAATATTTCACATGTGCGGTGTGATTAACAGCCGAAAGATAGAATTTTCGGTGCGTGTAGGCGTGTGTTATTTGGTATTGATGTTGCAAGTTAATCTTAACAATCTAAAGATAATGCTGTCCACTGTACTGTAATAATAGCTTTATTTAATATATATATATATATATATATATATATATATATATACACTCATATGTATGTATGTATATATTGAGCTTCCATCCGTGTAACCCAAAGATCAACGATAGAATTAGATGCCTACAACGACTGGCTGATTCGCGGTCTATGAGTAATGTGCTATATTTATTATTGCCGATGAACAGAGGTTATGAAGAATTTAACTTAAGCAATAAAATGATCAATTATCTAAGTAATTGATTATTTAATAAAAATAAAAGAGATAAGAGTTTTATAACTTGTAAAAAACTTGACAAATTAATAACGTGGATTTAATCACCTGCGAGTGTTCGCTTATATTCTAGAAAAAATTATTTGGAATTGGATTACGCGGATGATGGCTTAACCGAATGAGTATAATTTTGTCGTAATGTACGAATATGTGTGTGTCAATAGACTTTAATTCGCGTATGTGAATTGCGCACTTACACTACACGTTAGTTCGATCCTCAAAGGTTTTCTTCCAATCCAGTAGAACGTTGATGACATGATTTTTTTAGATAATAGCAATTTTTGACTGGTATGCTGTAAGTTTTTTGAACTCAAGCGGTTTTTTTGAGATGAATTGTACATTGCATAAAAGGGAAAAGCATATTGATTCTCGAAATCATTTCTCTTCGTTGTAATATCTTTATTAATTTACTATTCAGAAAAGCAGTAAATCTGATTATTATTGTAAATAATCTTGGCGACCTGCTTCAATTAATTCATTCTTTTGTGGTTCAGATGAATTTACACAAATTGATTCAGTAATTATTTTAGTATTTTTCAAGTACTTTGAAAACATTAATATTGATGAAATTTCTATACAGACATGTGATTTATTGAATATTTTATTTCAATATATTTTATGCTAAATTTCACAACATTATCGTATCTATTACAAGCTTTTAATTTTAATTTCTTTTACACTACTTGCGTTTATTAACAATGTGTTATTTCCAGACAAAAAAGAAAATGATAAAAAGTTGGTTTTAAAACTATAGTTAGATAATTGGAGTAAAAAATACACGATTTACTATTTGATTAGCTGTGTATTTTGAATGAAAGTATTTTACAATCAAATAAGAAAAACAAAAATTTTTTTTTGTACTTGAGAAGAAATTGCTTTTTTTGCATGAGATGCAGTCGTTGATTTTGTGGCAAAATTGGATTATAAATTTGCTTTTGAAAATTTCATGTGTCAATGTTGACTTGTGTAAAAATATGTATTGTTTGTTATATAGAAGAGATGTATTGCTATGCGAAGCCTTTTTATTTGTAATCGTACATATCAAAAGTAGAAAATTAAAAATCGTTTTTAGTTATGTATATGATAATAATTTATTTTTAATGTTATAAAAACAATTGAAAAAATCTATGTACAAGCAATGCATGAATCATATGATTGATTAGTAGAATAAAGTACCACGAAAGAATTTTGTTGACGATTATAATATTGGTAAAACAAATAATCAACGATCTTACTAAAAATGCTTTAATCATTTAATAGAAATATAATGAAAAATGTAATTTGTTCAATTTTTGGGCACATTAGTTTTGTTCTAATTTAGTTCACTATTATCAATAAAAAATTTTTTTTCAATTTCTTTGTTTTTTTTTTGTTATCTAACATTAATTTCTTTAATAATATCTTATCTGTTTTACGTGAATCTTCTCTTTCGAATTGTACATGATTCTTTACTACATACTACTACATACTAATGAGATTTACTACATACGTTATTAAAAAAAAAGTTTTTTCTCTTATGCTATCTACATTTAATTGCAGAAAACTGTTGATAATTTGTGTTTGCGAGAAATGTTGTTAATTAAAAAATGCTAGATTTTTTATAAACATATGGTACACGTTACTGTAATCTTTCAACTGGTGCTTTTATATTATTTTCAGTAAGTTATGAAATGTATTTCCTAATCAGCATTTTTTAAAATTTAATTCATTATTCCTTAAAAAAATTAGGAATTTGTTTGTATTTTAAAAATTTAAGCGTTGATCGAAGTGTATAAATACCGGATATAATAATTCACTTGAAGACTAATACTGTAAGTTTTTTCTTGGAATGAATACAAAGCTTCTTTATTGTTACAGGGTTAAGATAAAATGTCCATTAACCAATCTTTACATAAAAAATCCTTATTGATTCAATCAACTCACTTAGTACAGGATTTATACAAAAGGGTTTTTTTTGTAACGGTTTAATGGTTATCACAAGAAATGTTATTTAGTTAAGTTGATATAAAACGTCGTTCTTTAATTTTCTAAAAAGAACAGAAGAGCTTAAATGATTTTTAATTGTTTTTTTTTATATTAATGATTGATCTTAGTCTGATAAAAAGTCTGCTTCATTAAATACATATTTATCTATTGGAATAGTTATCGTTTTGCCTATTTTTCACTAGGCATTCATTTGCTTTAGCTTTAGAAAAAAGAGATTAGAAATGGTACTAACTACAAAAACTGTTTATCTTATTCAGAAATATTAGAATTTTCATTTATTATACAAAAGCCTGAATGAATGTTTTCCAACTCGTTTTTAAAACTGAGAAACTTCAAAACTTAAATATAAAACAACTACGACAAGCGAAACAATAACTTTATACGATCAAAAATGTTCTGCAAATTTAATAAGAAAAGTAAACAATGCTTGACTTGAAAATTAATTTTAAATATTTTATAGATGTAGTAGAACAAAATGTTGAGCCGTACTTTCAAAATAAGCCTTTATGAAAATATAAGTTCTTTCGTCATTAGCGAATTGAGAATTTTAGCGAGTTAGAATAATGGTTTGATGTAATTAGTTAAGATTAAATGTCCGAACGGCCATTCAAAACACTGTAAAGGTAACATTTTTGCCGCGATTTCGCGCTTTTCCAAGAAAAAAAGTAAAATGTATTTAAAATTGGATTCATTAACGGGAAAACCGGAATTAACTTTACTCACTAGGATGAAAAATACTGAATATTTAAAAGTTTTACGGTCTTTCCTAATAATAAATGATTGATCGTGATAACAATGAAACTTCTGTGTATCACAAAGTTCTTCAAATAGAATTTTGTCAAAGTCAAATAGACTAGAGATAAAAGAATACAATTTATTACCCTATCAAAGTAATGGATAACTATTAAATAATTGGAAATGTAGACTTTGATGACAATCGGTGTTACTCGTTTTACACCTTGTATATCATTTCAGCTATGGTAGTAGTTTATATGTACTAACTAATATTGAGAGAAAAATAACGAAATGACATTTAAAATGTAAATGATTATATCATTAAATGGGCTGTGTTTAGTAAAGAAAAGGACAAACAAAAATTTGTAAACTCTGTGAGTGCGCCGCGTGAGTTTTGAACCTAAACCTGTCGGTTCAAATCAGCTTTGTTTTCATAAGTGTAATGTATCGACACAAAAACGATAAATCAATCGAAGTGATTTTCGATTAAGAGATGTTTTATCATTTGAAAACGAAGAAACGAAGAAAAACTGAAAAAAAGAATAGAAACGAATAAAAGTCGGAGTATGAAAGTAAACAGGAGAGGAAAGTAAATAAGCATTATAGCTTATTAAAAAAAGAAAACAAATGACGCATATCTACGGAGGGCAATACGAAACTGTCTCCGAAATAATCGTCACAATCCGCAAGAACATGTTTTACATGTACTTTGCAAATATAATTACACAACGACCACCGTGCACACGTTGTACCTAATAATTAATAATTAACTGAGCTAAATTAATTGTAGTAAAGTCCGTCATTAATTGTCAATAATGTTGTACCTATACACGGAGTATGAATGATGACTCGTTGTTTGTAGGCTTTAACGCGTCTATGAAAGGCTGTAATAATAAAATGTTAGAATGGTCCAAGCTGTGGTAATACTTTTGTAAATGTGCTCATTTTTCAAATGACTTTTTTAAACCACATCGATTATGTTTCTTTATTGTCAATTGATTTCAATAAAATAAAAAAAGTATAATACCAAAAGACTTAGATTTTATACGAAGACAAAATTAATTAAGATGTTAAAGTTTTATTGATGAGTTCAATTGACAAGAAGAAACAATAATAAAGTATACTATCCTTAACAAAATAAAAAAAAATAAAAAAGAAAAACGTGAAAAAAAGGAAGAATAAATAACACGTAATTCAGAGTTAATGAAAAAAAAAACAAAGGTCTTATCAAAGTCAGGACTGTATTTACTATTAAGTCGAAAACTGAGTAAAGGCTATTACTTGGGCTGATTGATACGACTGTAGGGTTTGGGTAGAAATACTTTAGCTGAGGAAGTTATCGTAAGCATATTAGCGTTTAAATAATCTTTTAACCGTCTTAATAACTATCTGTGACATGCAAGTCTAGATGTGGGAGCTCTTGTCAATGTTTTTACGTAATAGTAAAAGCAAAAAACAGACGTCATACGTATGTACGTTTGTATATAGTTATAGCGATGTGCGAGCTGTGTGTTTGGACCCATGAGCAATTTTTCACGATCAGTTTATTGATTTGTTTGCTATGGAAAATCCTAACTTACGTACTATTGTATACCGTAAGGTTCTGGTTTCCGGTGCAAGCTCAACAAAATAATGCCGAGCAACAAGTATGATGCAACGAATAAAATAAATCCATTTTAAGGCCTTTGTACATTAGTTCGGAATCTCACTTCTTCGAAAGCCCGAATGCGCGCATTCAAGAGACAGATCGATCTTTAGCATGAACATTCGCGTAGTGATTATTCCGTTTCTCCGAAAACATCTGTACCCTTTTTTTATCGGATCATTTGTGTGAAGTGGCTTGGAGAACGAACAACTTACTTTCGTTGATATTTGTACGAAATGAACAATCCTATAACTCCTGTAGACTTATATTCTTCGTTGTGTGCTTTCACACATTTTATTATTGCGTGCTTTTTCAACCAATAACATACGTTTATATTATTTTCTACTAAACAATGCTTTTTTAATAACTCGAAATGCCGGAAATTTTTATTATCAATTTGATAGTTTGGGATGATTAGCTGTAACCTAGTGGGCTTATATATAAAATATTTAACGTATTTTGAATCCATTAAGCTCAATTCTTCATATGTGTAAACTAACTAATACTGTATTGGTCCTGATAAGCTTTAATTGTAGTTATAATCGCATGTATCTGTTATACACAGTTTATCAAATGTTAATTTCTCACGGCACGTAATTTATACGGCTTAAGGTAGCAATTTGTTATATTAAGAACACTCAAGAATCATTTTAGTTGTAACTGATAGTAGTGTATGATTAGTAGAGACTATGATAACGAGATAAAACGAATCAATTAGGCGAAAATTTGATGCAATTTGTAGCACTCGCGAACAACTGTAGTATCGACGAGCCAGTATTAGATTTACATTAGTCTTTCTACGAATAGGAATACCGGTACCAATTCAGTGTTAGTTATAAATTTGAAAGTTTATTGGTAATTGTGAAGCTGAGACTTGAATTAATATATTTAAAAATAGGACCAATATGCCGTTTTTCATGAATAACAGTTAAAAATAAATAATCAACGAGTAACTTGGCAATAGTTAAGAAAACTTTTCTCCGACAGTTACTAATGAGTGATATGAGTTACTTCTAATGATTTATTTGACTTGAACAATCATTTCCTACGTGCACTTATTTTTGTAAGTGAATGAAATAAAGATTTTCATTCAAAACAAAGAGACTAATGTAAGGGCACGAAAATAAAATTCTAGATAGATTTTGTCGATAACAAGTACATAAATGTGCAGGTGAAGGTCTATTATTAAAATGATATTATTTACACATATTTATATCGAAGCATACTTATATAGAGATGTTTAAACGTCGAAGAGGAAATAGTCTTGCCACGTCTGGCTCAAAGTAGCTATATATATATATACACACACACATGTATGTGTACATATACATATAATAAAATGGAAACTGTCGACGACGAATCGGTATTTGAATTTTAGCTCGCTAGTGAAAATAAACAAAGTAAAGGCAGAAAAGCGCATTATTAGATAATCGCAACTTACAGAGTGAACATGTTAGCGAACAAAAAGTTTAATTAGATGAAGAAACACCATCTGCTTTGAATTTAATAGTCAGTGAGGCGCGACAAAAGACTAGATTATAATACGAGATTTTGCCGTTTGTACTACTACGCAGATACAACTTACACAGGCATTTTCTTTCTTGTTTCTTTTGCGATGCGCACCCACGTGCGGACAATCAAACTGTAACGAAGCTTCGCGCTCGTTCCGTCAATTAAAACGAGCCGCTTGCATTGCCGTCATTGGATTTGATGTTTGCCCGTAAGTGCTTTCCCTCACTTTCATCCATTACCGCGGTAATTCATCGTCTTTCAACTACTCTTTCATCAAAATTACATTATCGCGGCTCAAATAAAACTGTTCGTATGTTGGGTCGACTACCAATTCGATTATACATGCATCACGGCTGCAGAGATGAAGCCCTTATCAGTGTTACAACATTGAATGCACATTATGCCACAACAAAGTGTTATTCGATCTTCGCTTATAAATAATGTATGATCGTTTGATTGTTTCACTTGTATATTTGCGTGATAATGAACGAGGTTGCTCATCATCCTACTTTAAATATGATTACAATTATTGCAGTCTCTCGATTCTATTCAAACTATTATTTGCGACAAGACTTTGAGAGTGATGTCAAAAAACACATTTTCATTGTATACTTCATGTCAATCGGTATTAAATTGTATAAGAATCTCTAACGACGGCGTATCTGTGAATTTTGACAAATTTAAAGTTGAATCGTTTTTTATGTATAGTCAATGTATCAAAATATGCGAAATGATCTACACGCAGTCTTTAACGAGTATCGAAACATATAATTTACTTAAGATTATTACGCTGAGAAAGGGTAACTAACTATGTACTTTTTTATGATTGAGCACTGAGCAATTTTTTTCACTGCTATATATATGTAAAATTTCATTTGTACGAAACTTTTTTACATTCTTACCACTATTTGCGAAACCGGTTATTAATAATGATCGCAAATATACACTCGTCGATTAGTTCAAGCTTTTAATAAGGACTAATATGATTTTAATAATAATTAAGTAATGTACGTTCATTCGTACTAACTGACAATTTTTCAAGTAATATTAAAAGTTTCACTGAATATCAAAAAAATACGTTAGTGGCATCAATCCACGAGACTTCCTCGCTCCAACAAAGCATAGCTGTAATCAATAGTTAGGGGTTTTCAGAAAAATAACAAACTACATAGTATGCCATTACAAATAACAATTACACTCTTAACTGTTAAATCTCGCTTTCATCTGTTTTCATGTTAAATTTGGACGTAGCGAACGATCGAACAATTTTCAAGCAACAAATAGCAAAACATAAATAAATGATAAACCGTGGTTTGCAATTTTTTCGATACGCGGTGTGACGATGTCATAAAAGTAAATATAAAAATTAATATAAAAGTTGATAGATAAAAAGGTTAGCAAAACAATAATTTGATAGAATTTACGAGGGGAAAGGTAGAAACGAAAGAGGATAAACAAATAACAGTTATCGCGCAACACACAAAACAAAAAGAAGTGAATGCGAGAGGCTGATAGGTGAGAAAGGGATATTAGTTGAATAATGCGAGATGTGAGCTTAAATATATCTGCCTGTAAAACTCCTGTTTGTACCTTACTAGTTTATTATATATGCGATTGCTACATCGATTGTAGAAGTGCGAATGTCTACGTGAGTGTCTGTGATTTCTTGAGGACGTCGTCAAAATAAATGTGAAGAGGAAGTTTACGATTCTTCTGCAAATAACTACGAGCATTGTAACTGACATAAAACTCATTTGTACGCTTTTATATCACTTTGCTTTCTCTTCTTTATTCTTAACGATGCAAAGCAGAAGCGTTCCTGTCAAAGTACCGTCTTTCTCGTTGCATGCGAATCGGCATGTTTTTAATAACTAACTTGCTAAAGAAATTGAAAATAAAATAGTAAAAGGCCGAAATATCGATCTCGGAAAAGACGGAGACTTTTACCAGATTTGTTTTAGCATTTTTAACGCAATGTCAAGATCGTAGTTGGAATTTACACAAGTGCACGAGACGCACTTATTCGTCGAGTGAAACAAATTGTAACTGCGTGGTAGATAACGTAGTTGTTGTAAATTGCAAGTAGAAGGAAAGTGTGTCGCCTTATGAAGCGTAGATCATTCGAAACGATACACAACTAGCGTATTGAAAAATTAAAATAAATCTTTTCTTTCCTATACCTATTTCTATTAACGATCCTTTTTTCACGATGCTACGTAGACGTAATGTAATGCCGTTTAGATGACAAATAACCAACAAATAAAACTACGTTCTATGTACACCTGCTGTGTTGATGGTTGACAGTTACGTTTTATTCAAAGTGTCCTTTCTATGTCAAATTGTTTGTCCCATTAAATCAACAAAAAATGATAAATAAATGGTATCTTTCATGTTCAGAAAAGCATTTTTTTATTGTACCTTTCCATTTAAACTTACAATTTCGGAACTATGTAACGAGATGATTTGATATATTTGATTTTGCAGTCATTATGTCTCGCAGTAAGTTAATTATAATTTGTGAATATGTAAATATTATTTTTTTGTATTTCTTACATGTATCAACAAGCGAGTAAGTTTTGTATTATAAAGATATAAGTAAGAACGCTCATTTAAAATATTAATCATTAATCTGATAATATATTATTTGAATGTTAAAAACCTCTTATTCGAATAAGCTTAATGACTGTTTTTAACTTATAAATGAATAATATAGTCGTTTCTGAAAAATAATATTTCACGTTTATATTATTTTTACTTAATTTATACATTATTCAAGGTAATTTCAAGGTCGAAAAGCCTGTTTAAATAGATCCACTTTCATTAAGTCAAAATCGGAAAAAAATGGTTAATAGAATATTTGTTGGATTTCGTCAACAACAACAAAAACAACAGCAAGAATAAGATCAATAATTATTTAATAGTGATAGAATAGCGACGTGTACAATAAAAAAATAATTATAATAACAAGAATAATAAAACCGATGATAGGTGAAATTTAAAGCTTAGTAATACAAATTTTTTCCAGAACTTTTAATAGTACATTACGATACAAATGCGGGAAAGTAGATTCTTGTTCCGTGTGGCGTTTACGCCCGAGCGAAGCGAGGGTTAAAAGTTACACGAGACGAGAAACTCTTTCCCGAACATGTGCCGTACCGTATTTTTTGATACGACGTGTGGAAAGTGCTATTTTCAACACACACTCGGCAGAAAACGTGCGTTGAAAATCGCACTTTCCATACGTCTTATAAAAAAATACGGTACGGCACATGTTCGGGAAAGAGTTTCTCGTCTCGTGTACTTTTCCACCCTCGCTTCGCTCGGGCATCAACGCCACACGAGACAAGAATCTACTTTCCCGCACTTGTATCGTAATGTACTATTTTATACACTTTTTCAAAAATACCTTACCTGAAAAAATATAGGACCGTTTCGGTACTTTTGTTACGCCTTGTATATGATATGAAATGATTTGAGCGACTTCCTTGGCGAAGTAAATCGCTCTTGTTTTGAATTTTTCCTTTGTCCTTTGTTGCTAATTTATTTGTGGTCGTTAATTTTTATTTTATTAGATGTATGGGAGAAATCACTTGACACTGATTTAGGGAAAAAGCCGTACCGGCATAAAAAACCCTTTTATTAAAATGAAATAGGAAATTAGAATGATGGAAATAACGCGAGAGAGACGTCGCGCGGAGAGCGATGGTCGTTGCCATGCACGCACGCACTCAAACGCTTTGCACACAAAGGAATTTAGTATACAACAAATTCGCATTCACTGTCACACACTCCAACCACAGTGAAGCGATAGGAAAGACCACGTGAGTGGACGAGAGCCTTGCAATACGTGGGTATTGCAAGCGGTGTTGCACGTGGGTGCACGAAACTGTTATTCAAAACGTGAAGACGCGAGGGAGCTCCGCACGCTGAACGATGTCGTCGACGACTGCCGGTTACACCGGCAAGAGCAGCCATGCTTGGCGCGAGTGGCGCAGCGCTGTAAGGTGCTGCCACCACGCTAGGCTTAAGGCCCTAGCGCCTCACACATTCTCGCACATAGACACGCTTTAGCTGCGCGCGCAGCTTAACTTAATTTAAAAGTACATGCCTGAATAACATACGTATGTGTTAGTACATATATATCGTTTTGCGACGTAACATACTGCCGGCCACAGCTGCGAGACTAGTTAGACCATTAATGGTCGAGCAGTGTTAGACTTAACAAGAATTTATATTGACTAGTTGACCCACTCCTGCTTGCGAATCTAGGACGGTCTTTGGTATATTTACATGGAGAGCCAGTTTTCGTTGAAGGGACTGCTCTATTGATTAGCATCGACATCACAATCTGATTGGTTGGAAGCTATTTTGCCTCAACTTCTCTTAAACTATTAATATAACGAAATGAACGATTAACAATATCTTAAGTCTAATGAACAACTTATTCTACGTGAGATCATCAGAGGCCATAATTTTGACGGTTCAATGATCACGCTTGTCTTAAATTAACGTCGACGTAAGGTTGGAGTCTCCGCGATCGTGGAGACCTGATATCCGGACAGGTATCGTGCTCCAAAGATTGTTTCTTTGGGCATCTGGCTGTAGAGCACTCTGTACTCTACCCTTCTCGGGCCAGGCTTCAAGCACTTCCAGAATACCCCATGGTTCAACTCGTTTATGGCAAACTAAAGAGCGCACATCTGGGGCTAATTACGAAGTCGGGAGGGTAGCTTGAGACTCCAACGGGGACCGCGTTTTCCTGATTCACAGGGAGCACACAGAACCGAGTAATGTTCCGCTTGTAGGTTCCGGAAGCCATTTTCACAGATGCTACTCGAGCAATGCCATCGCTCCCAGGGTGGATCTCCACGACGACACCCAGCGGCCATCTTGCGCACGCAGGGTTGTCCTCCATCGATACAACCACGGATCCAGGTAATAAGACGGTTCCGGAGGTCAACCACTTCTGACGAGTTTGTAGTTCATGCAAGTACTCTTTGTGCCATTTACTCCAGAAGGCTTGCCTAGCCTTAGAGACGAGTTGGTAGGAAGTGAGGCGATTGTCCGGAACTGAAACATAATTTTGGTCGGGTAAGAAATTGAAGGGACGCCCGATCAAAAAATGAGCTGGAGTTATCGCAAGGGAATCGTTTGGATCGGCAGAAATCGCGTACAATGGTCAAGAGTTTAACACGGCGGCGATTTCCTTTAATAATGTTTCCAATTGCTCGTACGTGAGCTTTTGATCTTTGACGACACAATTTAGATGGTGTTTGAAACTTTTGACTGCCGCTTCCCACAAACCGCCGAAGTGCGGTGAGAGAGGTGGATTAAAGTTCCATTCAATCCGTTCGGCTGTAGCAAAGGTTTGAATCGCGTCCTTAAATTCGTGTGAATCGTATAATTTGTAAATCTTTTGCAGTTCGTTATTCGCACCTACAAAGTTAGTACCATTGTCAGAGTACATGGTGGTCGGTTTGCCGTGCGTGGCAATGAACCGACGAAAACATGCGAGGAAGCCCTCAGCTGAGAGATCGGAAGCTACCTCGATGTGGACAGCCTTGGTGGCCATGCAGATGAAAACAGACCCATACGCCTTAATGAAGCTTCGATTCCGATCCTTTTTTTCTTTGATCATAATCGGACCAAAAAAATCTACGCCGGTTTTAGCGAAAGCGAACGCAGGGTTTACTCGAGATTCTGGAAGGTCTGCCATCTTGGCGTGTGAGAATTTTGGCTTTTGCCGAAGACAGGGTACGCAGCGGCGCAAGACATGTTGAATCTGGTTTCGACCGTTGAGAATCCAAAACCTCTCGCGTATCGTGTAGAGAGTGGATTGGACCCCTCCGTGAAGATTTCGATGATAAGCGTCGCGGATAATGAGATCTGACACGTGATGATTACTAGGTAGCAAAAAAGGGTATTTTTGATTGAACTGAAGATTTGAATTCTTCAACCGACCGCCTACTCTGATCAGCCCATGCTCGTCTAAGAAGGGATTGAGTTCGTCGAACTTCGTTCGACTCCTGAAAGCGCCGTTGGGGCCTTTGGAAATAAATTTTGTAGTCGACTTGAGCAATCTTATCTCATAACTGAAACATTCTCTTTGGATGAGAAGAAGAATATTGCGCTCTGCGTAAGCTATTTCGACTTGAGAGAGGTAACGAATCCCTCGTTGCGATTTATCCGAATCTTGGGTATCGTCTGGCAATGGTTCCCTTCTACTCCAACGGAAAAGATATCCGATGGACCTAATAAGGCACCCATAGTCAGAGAAACGAGCGTAGACATTGCTTCCGGAAGAAGCTGTGAATAAAACAATTCCCTCTGTCGCGCCTGGAGGATCACCTGACGAGGAATCTTCCGATGAAGGCCATTGATCTTCAGGAAGAACCAACCATGGAGGGCCCGAGTTCCAGAGGGGGTCAGCTAAAAGTTCCCTGGGTAGCTGTCCTCGGGATAGTGAATCGGCCGGATTGTCTTTCGAACGAACATGTTTCCACTCGACTTTCTCACCTAGCGTTTGAATATCAGGGACTCTGTTCGCTTCGTACGTTCTAAGTAGATGAGGAGCTTTGTCTAACCAGCAGAGAACGATTTTTGAGTCTGTTCGAAGAATTGTTCGCACGATAGTGAAAGTCAGCTGTGTCACAAGTTCGACATATAGTCCTTTCAAAAGGGCAGCGCCAGAGAGTTCCAAACGAGGTATGGTGTGATGACTAAGCGAAGCAACCTTGGATTTACTGCAAGCTAACCTTACAGTGACATTTCCCGCGGAATCAATGGAACGAATGAAGATGCACGCGCCGTATCCTTTTATCGACGCGTCGCAAAAATCGTGTATCTCGGTGGATACTGGGTTCGCAACATCGTATCGCAGATATCTTAGTAACGCGACTTCTCGCACCAAAGGAAGTTGTTCAGCTAAAGCAATCCACTTTGTGTGGATGTCTTGAGGTAGGGATTCGTCCCAGGTAATGTTAGCTTTCCAACATTCCTGAATCAATGTTTTGGCATACAGAGTTAAAGGACCTAATAAGCCCAGAGGATCGAAGATCCTTGCAATCTGGGAAAGGAGTTTTCTTTTGGTAGAAGCTGATGCATCAGGGTTTGCGGAATATGTGAAGACATCTCGTTGCGAGTCCCAGATGATTCCGAGAGTCTTCTTTATGGGGTTCCCTTGTATGCCACAGTCTAAATCGAAGATGTTTTTATCGATATTATCTAAAGCTGACGGATGATTAGAGGACCATTTTCGTATTACGAACCCCCCACGATTTAAGAGTTTGATCATCTCGTCGCGAATCCTCATGATGTCCTCCAGCGTGTCTGCACCTGAAAGGAAATCGTCAACGTAGAAGTCTCGACGAAGTAGCATTGCCGCCCTTGGGAATCTGCTCTCCTCATCAACGGCCAACTGGTGCAATGTTCGAACTGCAAGAAAAGGAGCACACTTCACCCCGAAAGTCACAACGTTGAGAACGAAAGTTCGAACTTCGCCTTCGTGGTACCACAAGATCTTCTGGAACTTCCTGTCGTCGGGATGAACCCAGATTTGTCGATACATCTTTTCGATGTCTGCAGTAATGACGAAGGGATGAGAACGGAATCGCAAAACTTGCTTCTACAGAGTTTCCTGAATGGTCGGTCCGGTCAACAATATATCGTTCAACGAAATGCCCGTGGAGGATTTTGCAGAAGCATCGAAAACGACACGACATTTTGTCGTTTCGCTAGACTCCTTGATCACCGCATGGTGAGGCAAGTAGTAACCATCGTTGTTGTCGTCCTCGCACAACGTCATGTGACCAAGTTCCAGGTACCCATTGAATTCCCTTTCGTACTCTGCTCGAAACCTAGGGTTAGCATCAAATTTGCGCTGCAACGCCTGAAAACGCTGTAACGCTTGGTGTTTTGACGAACCTAGTTCGAATTTGCCTGATCGAAACGGCAGACGAACGATATAGCGACCTGAAGTGTCGCGCGTCGTGGTTTGAACGTAGTACCTTTCGCACGCTACGTCCTCTTCTGACTTGATGGGTTGATAATCCACGTCTTCCATCGCCATGAATTTTTCGAAAAGTGAATCTAACCTCACCGCGTTACACGAAACGGAGTTGGGAGTCCTTGATAAAATTGATCCTTCGGCTGCAATCCAGCCGAAGAAAGTTTTTTGAAGAGTGATTTGGAATCTTTCGCCATTTAGCTTGATTTGTCCTATGGTAAGAGAAGACAGAGTTGGACCTGACGCTAATAAGACATCGACCGGTCTGGGCATATGAAATTGGGGATCCGCTAATTTGATATTCTTGGGGATGTTGAATTTCTCCCGAGGGAAAGTCTCATTAGGCACTTTCTCCGCTATTTTAGGTACAATCAAAAAAAAAGTTTAATTGATGTTTAGAATTATTATATGTAGAATAGAAAGTGGCTGTAGTGTATTTTTCCGAAACAATATTCGCATTGTCTATTGCTCCGATGTTCACAAAGCATTGTTTAACTGGTAATTGTAAACGATTGATAAGAGATTGAGTCATTAAGTTTGCATTGGAACATGAATCTAATAGTGAGCGTGCCATGAGACGTTTTCCTCGGCATGACTGAAAGCTTAAAACTGCTGTAGTCATAAGTTGAGAATCGGGAAGGTATGCGCTTGACGCGTATGTTTGTTGGCTTAGTCATGGTTGAGACGTCCCGGATAAATTTGAATCGTTCGCGGGTTGAGAGGTAGATGAACTTGACGGCTTTGATTTTTTATCCGCGTGCAGAAGGGTATGATGATCCTTATGGCATTTTTTACATCTTTTTTCGCTGGAGCAGGAAGTGGAGTAAACGTATAAGCAGTTGCGACATAACCCCTTTGCCTTAACGAGTTCCCACCTTTCGTTCAATTTCGCCTTATTGAACTTTTCGCACTTGTAGAGTCTGTGGGATTGACCGCATTGAACGCACGCGTTGTTGCTGGTCGTCGAGGTAGTGACGAGTGTGTTGGCAACGTTCTTGGAGACTTTCGCCGGGGGTTCTGCCTTGCTACCCGCCCCCTTTCTTTTGGACTGGTGATCTCGTTTCGGAAGTTCACCTATCGCTCGTTGTTTAAATATTGAATCCTGAACGAAGGTATACAATTTTTCTAATTTGGGGATTTCGCGATTTGAGTGTTTATCCATCCATCGCGACAGGAGATACCCGGGCAGGCATCTTTCAAGAATTCGCAGGACAAACTCGTCGCAGATCGCAATGTTCATCGTTTTAAGCATGCTGACGTGCTGACGGACGGTGTACATCAGGGTGGCTGTGGTTTCGGCGGTTTGATTTTGAGCGGGAGCTAACTTCAGCAGAGCGTCGAAGTGCTCATTGACTAGGACACGTCGTTGATCGTAAACGTTGCACAACGCTTCCCAAGCTAGGCCGTAGCTGACGTCACTGGGGTCAAGACAGAATTCTTTTATTACAGTCGCGGCTAAACCCTGAACCGCATTTTGAAGTTGGGATAGTTTGACGCTTCCCGCCATTCCTGGACGATCGTGTATGAGCGCTTGGAAGTTGGCCTTCCAGGGGACCCAGTTCTTGTGGTTCCCGTCAAATTTGGGTACTGTCAACGGTGCGAGTTTCGCCACGTCGGTTCTCTCGATGAAGGTGGCGGTGTTATTTCCGTTAAGCATAGTGGAATTCGCGAGAGGGATCACTGGGGGTTTGTTCATTTTCGATATCCGGCTTGCTACTTCGAAATATTCGGATTCGAGTTCGTCGAATGCGGCAATGTGGGGATGTTCAGGTTGCATCGAAAGAAGTTCTTCGCGATTCGCTGAGTAACCTTGATATATGGTCGAAAGGGAATTTATTCGTAACTCCGCGTTCGTCGCATCTGGCGATCTCTTCGCTAAGTATTCTTTGAGGGATTTCAACGTTTTTGTGAACCTATTAAATTTCTGTTCGATATAAATTAAGCGTTTTTCTGCGTTGCCGCTGGCTGGGATAACCTCGTCGTTATTCATTTTGGGTGGTTATTGGATCGAAATAACGAGTTATGAATCAAAATTAAAATTGACATTAGTTGAAATTTCAAAGAAGAAGAGAGAAAAAATATATGATTGAAACGGACAACAAATTTTTATTTGAATGATTTAAACAATGTCAAACAATTGTCTACAAACTTATTTAATGGCAATTAATAACTAGTGGATTGTAAATTGCTTGTTAAATTCGAATAAACATGAAATGCTAACAATGACTCGAGTAATAATCAATGAGCAATCGAATTTTGGTTTGATTGATTCGCTTAATTTGACAAAAAAAAAAAAACAAAAACGCTAGAATTAAATCAATTGAAATGGAATCAATCGTTATAAATAGAAAGTGAAACTGTTATTTCGCAAGCGTATGCTTGTTTATTGAAACAGAGAAAGCGAGAAAAAGAAAGAAGAACACTTATCTGAATTAGCGGAAAACGATGTCGGTGGCCGCTGCGTGTAAGTCCCCCTGGTCGGAAGCGATGGCAATGCTGACCGGTACTGACGACTGCGCACGCTGTTGCGCACGCTGGATGATTGCGCACGCTATTGCGCACGCTGAGTGATTGCGCACGCTGTTGCGCACGCTGAGTGTAGGCAGTTGCACGAGGCGCGAGTGAACGGCGTGGGAGCGAGCGAGAGAGAAGACAAATTGGCGCGCTGCACTTGTCGGTGCACGTTGCGCGCGTTTTTCGCGCGCTTTTATATGCACACTTTTTCGCTCCCCACAACTCACAATTGTACTCGCGCGACGTCTCCTTTTCTGAGAACGAAAAAGGAGAGAAAGAGGTAGAAAACTACCTCACAGGAGGCACCATGAAATGATTTGAGCGACTTCCTTGGCGAAGTAAATCGCTCTTGTTTGGAATTTTTCCTTTGTCTTTTGTTGCTAATTTATTTGTGGTCGTTAATTTTTATTTTATTAGATGTATGGGAGAAATCACTTGACACTGATTTAGGGAAAAAACCGTACCGGCATAAAAAACCCTTTTATTAAAATGAAATAGGAAATTAGAATGATGGAAATAACGCGAGAGAAACGTCGCGCGGAGAGCGATGGCCGTTGCCATGCACGCATGCACTCAAACGCTTTGCACACAAAGGAATTTAGTATACAACAAATTCGCATTCACCGTCACACACTCCAACCACAGTGAAGCGATAGGAAAGACCACGTGAGTGGACGAGAGCCTTGCAATACGTGGGTATTGCAAGCGGTGTTGCACGTGGGTGCACGAAACTGTTATTCAAAACGTGAAGACGCGAGGGAGCTCCGCACGCTGAACGATGTCGTCGACGACTGTCGGTTACACCGGCAAGAGCAGCTATGCTTGGCGCGAGTGGCGCAGCGCTGTAAAGTGCTGCCACCACGCTAGGCTTAAGGCCCTAGCGCCTCACACATTCTCGCACATAGACACGCTTTAGCTGCGCGCGCAGCTTAACTTAATTTAAAAGTACATGCCTGAATAACATATGTATGTGTTAGTACATATATATCGTGTTGCGACGTAACATTTTGGAGACGACGACCAAGGCGGTCCCTTGCGCGGGACGGTCAAACGTTCTAAAACGAGAATGCGGGAGATAAATAAAATGCAGTGCCAAATGAACTTGACAAACTTTATTAATCCGTAACAGAAGAAGTAACTCGGTGGCGAGAGGAAAAGAAGTGAGCGCGTGTACACAATTACGTAACACCACGTGGCTAAATTTCCCGAGCGCGATGGTCGGATAACGCTCCGGAATCGGTGGCGCCCAGCAAGCGAGAGAGAGCGTGCAAGAGAGATGGTTCCGCTTTTCATGGAATGAATCGGGGCTACCCCCTCTTGCCGCAGAAGGTGACGTCAAAGGTCGCTAGCGAGCATCAGCGCTCAAGCGGGAAGTTGGCTCGCCTCTTGCCGTCGTTGTCTCTCGAGTGGTGTCAGCACCGACCTCGTGCGGAACGCCACAGCCACTCCCTCCTCTGGACCGAACGCCGGAGGCGAGCGGAATCTGACGATCTTACGAAGGATGTTGGGCCGGTGTCTGATCCTTGAGGCTTCTGGTGTCGGCAGGGGTGAAGTGTCTTGCAGCGTAACTAAGGGCGGTGGCAGTGTTTCCTCATCTTCCCCAGGTAGCAAGGAGTGCGGTGCTTGTGGGGGCGTAGGTGCAGGTGGCTGAGGGGGCGTCTGAACGGGTGCAGGAACTAGCGTTGCTGCAGCTGGCTTAGGAGGGGCGATGTTGGTGTTGCTCAAGTACGCCGGCTTAAGCGTGTCAGTTGAGACGGATCTTTCGGTACCGTTTACGTCGATGACGTATACCTTCTCGCTAATGCGGCAAACGACACGGTGCGGACCTGTGTACGGAGGTTGCAGCGGTTTCCTGACAGCATCGATGCGCTGGAATACGTGAGAGCAGGTACGCAGGTCCTTGAAGGTGAAAGGCCGGTGCACAGAGTGATCCGCCGCTGGTACGGGAGCTAGGTCCCTTATTATTGTGCGCAGTTGTCCGATGAAGGTTGTTGGGTCTGCCGGTGGGCTGCTCGAAGTAAAGAAGTCTCCTGGTAGACGGAGGGTTCGACCGAAGACCATCTCCGCCGGTGAGGCCTGCAGGTCCTCTTTGAAGGCATTGCGTAGGCCAAGAAGCACTAACGGTAGTGCGTCGGGCCAGCGTGCGGGCGAGCACATAAGCGCCGCCTTTAGGGTCCGGTGAATCCTTTCGACCATCCCGTCTGCTTGCGGATGGTAAGGCGTAGTACGGATTCTCGACGAACCCGAAACTTACGTGAGCGCCGAGAAGAGTGCGGACTCGAACTGCGCTCCCTGATCTGAGGTAATGGTCGTGGGGCAACCTTTACTCGCAATCCAGTTTGCGACGAAGGCCTTGGCTATGGTCTCTGTTTTTATGTCCTCAAGGGGAGCAGCCTCGGGCCATCTAGTAAAACGGTCGACTATCGTTAGACAATACCGAAATTTTTCCACCTGCGGTAGCATTATTAGATCCACATGCACATGGCTAAAACTATCATCCCGCCCCTGGAACGAAGAGAGTTTGGCACGGTTGTGCCTCGAGATTTTGGCGCGCTGACAACGTTGGCATTCTCGTGCCCAGTGAGTCACGTCTCTGCGAATGCTAGGCCAGACGAATCGCTCCGAGACTGCACGCACTGTCGCACGTACTCCGCGGTGAGCAAGACCATGTATGGCATCGAAGGCCGCCATGCGCAGTGACTTTGGCAGGAAGGGACGGACTCTGTCGGCGTGGATATTGCACGCCAGATCGGCGCCCTCGATGTTGAGGCGCTGCAACTTAAGAGAGCAGTGCTCGTCGAGAAGCGGTAATTCATCGTCGTCAGATTGAGCCTTAGCGATAGTTTGCGGGTTTAACTGAGTGGGCATGTTGACGGTGGCGCAGGCTCGTTGGCACTCGAAAGAAGGCACCGACAATGGGGGCGTGTCGGCAGTCACCTCGGGCGTAGAATTGTCTTCGCGCGTTCTGGATAAGGCGTCGGCAACAATGTTATCGGTGCCGCTAATGTGCTGAAATTTGATGTCAAATTGCAACAGATAGTCCAATTGTCTCTGCTGCCGTGGAGAGTCCTTCTCCGAGGGCCGGTTCGCTGCAGAAATCAGCGACCGGTGATCTGTTAGCACGGTGAAGGGACGCCCCTCCAGGACTCGCCGGAAGTGTTGAACCGCCTTAAAACTTGCCAGCAGCTCTCGATCGTAGGTACTGTACCGAGACTCTGTCGGCGATAATGTCTGAGAGAAGAAACCGATAGGCTGCCACCGTCCCTCGACGAATTGCTGTAGCGCAGCTCCAAGCGCCGAGCTGGATGCGTCCGTGGCCAGTTGTATAGGCGCAGTCGGTGACAAAAAGGTTGTCTCCACTGCGTTGGCAAGACTACGACGGGCTTCCTCGAAAGCTTGTTCGGCCCTGTCGTTCCAGGTTAGCGGGCGGCGGCTGTTTTTAGGTAGTCCGCGGAGAAGCTCGTTAAGCGGAGCCTGAATGTGCGCAGCGTGCGGTAGACTTCGTCGATAGAAGTTTAAAACCCCCAGGAACCGTCGCAGTCCCTTCGCTGAGGTTGGCCTCGCGAATTCTCGAATAGCCGTCACCTTGCGCTCTGGGGGTTTGATGCCATGCAAGGAGACTTCGTAGCCCAGGATTGTAACGCTGGGTTGGCCTAGCTGGCACTTTGCCAATCTGTATGATAGGCCGGCCTCTCGCAGCCGAGTGAAGAGGCTGCGCAGATGGCGGAGGTGTTCCTCGTGCGAAGACGAGCGAATAAAAAGGTCGTCTAGGTACGCGCGCACAAAAGGCAGATCTCGCAGCAGACAGTCCACGAAGCGTTGGAATGTTTGCGAGGCGTTGCGAAGTCCTAGAGGCATGCGGAGGAATTCGAAAAGGCCGAACGGGGTGGTCACCGCCGTCTTTGGTATATCCTCGTCGGCCATGGGAAGCTGAAAGTAAGCTTCCTGAAGATCAATTACGGAAAATACCGTGCAGCCGCTGCAATCCTCAAGAAGATCCTCGATGACGGGCAGCGGGTAGCGATCTGGCAGCGTGATGGAGTTGAGCCGACTGAAGTCGCCTGTGGCCCTAAACCCTCCTGAAGCTTTCGCCACTAGGTGTAGGGGACTTGTCCAGGGACTTGAAGAGGGGCGTATAACTCGCTGCCTTAGTAGTCGATCGATGGTGTCCTTCGCTGCTGCAAGGCGTTCACCCGACAGGCGACGCGGTCGCTCGAACACCGGTGCGCCTGTTGTGATGATGCGGTGCGTGACCAAAGTACCTTGAAGGGAGGCTCCCTTCTCTGAGGGTTCGGCTAGATCCGCGAACTTCGCGAGCAGCTTGTCGTAGGCCACACGGTACCGCAAGTTGGCGAGGTCAGCTACGACGGCAACGCCGTGGATAAGGGCCTTACGCAGCTGAGTAACCGTTTCCTTTGAGGTGGAAGGGTCGACAAGACGTCGACGGCGCACGTCCACCAGGAGGCCCGTGCTATCCAAGAAGTCAGCACCTAAGATCGGTGTGGGGACATCGGCGATGACGAAGGTCCAACGAAATTTGCGCTGGAGGCCCAGGGAGACCGTGAGCATGCGGCGGCCGTAAATATTGATCGGTGATCCGTTGGCAGCAACGAGCTGCAATCGGTCTCTGAAGAGCTGGCCGGTAACCAGGCATCGCGGGAGTAGTGAGACCACGGATCCGGAGTCCACCAGCATGGAGCACGCCAGTGAGGACTCGAAGACGTGGAGGCGGTTGTCCGAAGACGACGAGGTCGCGCTGCCGTGTACCGCCGTGACAGACGGCAGCGCTCCTAGTTTGTCGAACGGTTGGCTGGGTAGGTGCAGGGTGGCCGACAGCGCTCAGCAGCTCCTTGGAACCTCTGGTGATAGTAACACCAGCTCGGGTTCGATGCGATGGCAGCACCGGACGAAGAAGCGGCGCGAGATGTCGAATGACCAGACGACCTGGCCCTCGAGCGTCCGCCTCGAGCGGTGAGCCGCTCGAGAATCCGGCTCGTAGTGACGACGAGCTGCGAGATGGCAGCTCGCAGCGCCGCGAGTTCGGCAGCCACAGCGTTATCCTGAGACGGAAACGTGGTTGCCGGTATGCTCAGCTCTGGCAGGGGACGCTGCACGCTGCAGACCTCTGGAGCCGTCTCGACCAACTCGTCGGCCGTCTGCGCGAGCTCGTCCAGGGTTGCCGTGCGCAGTAGACGTAGCATTTTGGAAGTGCCTATCGGGAGCAGATCCAACCAATGTACCTTGATGGCGTCGTCGCTCACACTGTTGCCGGCGAGGCCGCGCATGCGGCGCAGGAGTTGCGATGGAGTGCGATCCTCCATAGTGAGCCCCGAGAACAGCTTGTGGAGCCGCTGCGTCGCCGAGTCCCCGTATCGATGAATGACCTGATCCTTTAGATTCGCATATTTGCCTGAAGCCGGCGCGTTCTGTAGCACATCCAGCAGGTCCTGGACGGTCTCGCTGTCCAGTCCGGCGACGGCGGCGTGGTAGCGCTGTAGATCGGAGCTTATTTGGTGGCATGCAAAGACGGACTCCAACTGAATAAACCACGCCTCAGGGCTGTGCTTGAGGAAGGGTGGCGTTCGAACGGCCACGTGGCGCACCACGTCAACTCCGGCGGCCACCTCCAGCGAATCGTCGCGATTAGCTGATTCAACGGGGGCCTCGTTGCTCAGGTCAAGCGGATTTGGAGGAGGCATCGCGAGCCTCTCGTTCCGTTGAAAGCTGGATCGAACGTGCGCCGACAAAGCTCGCAGCTCGTGGAGAGAGCGGCGTGTCTCGGATCGAGGAGTCGCCTCCGTTATGAATCAGGGGGTAACAGTCTCAGGAAAGAAGCACTGTAAAGCTGCGCCTCACCTTCCAGTGTTCTAATCAGCTCACACACTCGCGTTGCACCGAGATCACGTCGGGGTCACCAATTTGGAGACGACGACCAAGGCGGTCCCTTGCGCGGGACGGTCAAACGTTCCAAAACGAGAATGCGGGAGATAAATAAAATGCAGTGCCAAATGAACTTGACAAACTTTGTTAATCCGTAACAGAAGAAGTAACTCGGTGCGAGAGGAAAAGAAGTGAGCGCGTGTACACAATTACGTAACACCACGTGGCTAAATTTCCCGAGCGCGATGGTCGGATAACGCTCCGGAGTCGGTGGCGCCCAGCAGGCGAGAGAGAGAGCGTGCAAGAGAGACGGTTCCGCTTTTCATGGAACGAATCGGGGCTACCGCCTCTTGCCGCAGAAGGTGACGTCAAAGGTCGCTAGCGAGCATCAGCGCTCAAGCGGGAAGTTGGCTCGCCTCTTGCCGTCGTTGTCTCCCGAGTGGTGTCAGCACCGACCTCGTGCGGAACGCCACAACATGATATGACGTGTTTGTCTACATAATTTAATTACATACATTTCATATATATATTAAAATGTATTAAAGAGTCAGTTCGAAACAATTATTAGCACAAAAATAGCTGTTTGAAAATGATCGAAAGATTTTAAGTAATTTAATAAGATCACGTATCAATCGATATTAAAAAAATAGCATAGAAAATTGCGTTTATATTATTAATATGCCTCTTTGAAATTCAAAAGCTTTTTTAATTTTAATAAAACTTGAATAATTTTTTCTCAAAACTATAGAGTTTGATCAAAACTTTTAAGAGTAAAAATATCTTAGAATTGATTGAAAAAAAAACTCTAAAATTTTTCTAGATTTTTAGAGATAATTTTTTATCTTTTAAATAATGACAAATTCAAAATTTTCTAAAAATGACTTCAAAAAATCTGAAAAGAAAACGATAATAAAGAAAAATTTGATTTTTTTGGCTTTTTGGCATTTTAGTCGCCATTTTTATCAAATTAAGTATGTATGTAAAAATTCCTTGTTACATTTCAACAAATTTTGGTATCGATGGTTGGTTAAAACTAGATATAATTATGCTTGAAAATAAAATCATAACCACTTTAAACAACAAATTTTTTACTTTTTTGTAAAGAAAACCGTAATTTTAATTTTTATTTTTTAATTTTCGAATTGGCAACAAGATGCGACGTCGATGCTAAAGCCGAGCAGCGGCCATGTTGTGACGCGATCGACGACGAGCGTGAGCAAAAGAGCGCGGAGAGTAATCGAGAGCGTAGAAGTGCGATAGAGGAAGCGAGAGAGGAAATACTAATACGCTAGTAGGAGCGACCGATAGGGATAACGAGAATGAGCGCATAAAGAACGGATGATAGGTAACTAATAACGAGTAGACTGACCGAAGCGTGCACCTTGGCTGACCAATTACAAATAAGATAAGGGTAGACCGACAAATAGGATAATTAAACGCCAACTAATCGACCAGTAGTAAAATTCCGCGGGACAAAATCGTGAAATAGACGATGCTGATAATCGTAGTGACGCCACTTAGGGCCAATAAGATACAATCCATGACCGAAAAGAAAGGGAAGCGAGAGATGCGACGCAACGCTGGGTTAGCCGCGGCCTATTCTCCTGGAAGCCGCAGTCGAGCCTGGATCGGATTTTAAACAAGTGATTGGAGAAGCCATTTTTTATCTCTTGTGTGCTACGTTGAGGATGAGACAGAGAGAGAGAGAGAGAAAGAGAGAGAACAGGAGTTTCGTCAGACTGAATAATAATACACCACCTGTGAGTACCGCATTATGTCTATATTGTGATCGAGAGTGCGCGAATCAGCATAAGTCTCACCGATCCACGATCAAAATCGATTGACCTACGACTAACCGGTGATGCGTGATACGTTACCTTTTGTTCTTTTGAGTGCTCCTGTAACTGTAATCATGTCGCGGTGTGTCTATAGAGGGAAATGGTTCGTATGCTGCGCGTTGGGGAATGGCGACGACGTGATTAGCAGACTGCAAACAAGTTAGCTAATACGTTGACTGAGTAGGCGTGATATGGAACATCAGGTGAGTTTCGCCTGACAATTTGAGGATTAGTAGCGTAGACAGATAGCGAATATTTTGTCATATAGCGACGGCGTAATTGTCCTGGGCAGACCGTGGGAAGTTTGAGTTTTCTTTTTTTTGGCACAGTAAATAGTGATTTTCTAATTAATAACCCGTTGTTTGACGTGACCTGCAACCTACACATCGTTTGTAGCTATCGCGGTCGAACCACAAAGGGCAAGATAGCGCGCGTCGACACGTCAATGCCATCTTATTCGTGCGCCGAGCGTCTTGATTACTGAAATCGTTTCTCATACGTTTACTGACCAGGGAGGCCTGAGGAGTTCATTTTTCCGAATATCTACTCTTTAACGGAGCCGACGACCTGACTAGTCGACCGCCGTTAGTTCAAACGCAGTTATTAGGGGATTTACGCTTCTTCCACGCTTATAGGTGGCCAGCGAGGCCAGTGCAAGCTGGACAAGCCAGCCGACCACCCGTTTACAGTGATCCAGCACCCGCCGATTCGCGGCGCTAATCGCTTTCTTAGTGCGAAGTCGGTAGCTGACGTCCAACAACAAAGAGAAAAGCCGCAAATCGGTCAGCTGCGCCACTGTTTTCTTTCAGTTTCTTTAAGTTTGTATATAGTTCCACTTTTCAGCTTAAGCTACTAAGATACGTATGTACAAGCTAAGTATCAATACTAAAAAATATTTTTAAATCATATAATAAAACTATTATACAATTAGCACGTATATATCTTAATTCTAATAATAATAATAATAATAATAATAATAATAATAATAATAATTCCTGCCACGGCTGAGGGGGTGGCGGGTGGTCGAGGACTATACAGCCAGCGACCATCAGTACATCGTCTTCGATGTGGCGGGACGGACAGAAACGAGACAAACGAGAATCCACCAACCCCCGCGGTGGAACCTTAACAAACTTGACCGACAACAATTTTCGGAGGAGTTGATGGCGGCATCAGCCCCAGGGTCGAAGATTCCTCCTGAGCTAACGGGCCGGCGAAAAACGGAAAGACTGACAGACGAGACGGCGAAATTAATAAACAGCTTGTGCACCAGCACAATGCCGAAACGACGACAGATCCAAAAAAGACGGCTACAATACTGGTGGACGGACGAAATAGCCGAGCTACGCAAGATATGCCTGGCAAATCGGCGACGTGCGACGATGGCTGGAGGTGGACCCGAAAGGGAAAATCTTCAGGCCGCGTACAAGACAACACGAAAGACGCCGACGTGAGCAATACAAGACAGCAAGACGCGATGCTAGAGGAAGCTCTGCGAGGGGGTGAACGAGGATCCCTGGGGGACAGGATACAAAATTGTGACTGGCAAACTAGGGGTCCAAGTTGCACCCGAACTTAAAGATGCCGAAACAACAGGACGGATCGTTGACGAACTATTTCCGACGCATCCGATTCGGAAGAACGTGACGGACGACACTGACGCATCGGCGCCCCCCGTCTTTGCCGCTGAGGATCTCATCAGAGCAGCGAATGCTGATGATGAAGACGGGCAAGGCCCCGGGACCAGACGGAATAGATCGGTGGAAAGAGGCGAGGCTCGTTCTTATCCCAAAAGGTAAGGGCGACCCTGGCACGCCTTCGGCCTACCGACCGTTGAGTTTACTTGACACTACTGGTAAACTCTTTGAACAATTACTCAGACCGAGACTGACGGACGCGATACAGACCGGAGGGGGTCACTTAGATTTGCAATTCGGTTTCAGGAGGGGTCGGTCGACGATTGGAGCGATCCAAAAGGTGATTGATTCTTTCCTGGAACTAGACAGACACTGCCATGCGGCGCGACCCATTGTGCTGCTAGCGACGCTCGACATTAGAAATGCTTTTAACTCGGCTAGGTGGGTGGATATCTTGGAGGCGCTGAAAAGCAACTTTCGGATCCCACCGTACCTGATTCGGGTTGTGGAGGATTATCTGAGAAACAGACGAATAATGTACGAGACGATCGAAGGACAGGTAACGAGACAGGTCACCGCTGGGGTGGCTCAGGGGTCGACACTGGGACCCGACTTTTGGAATGGTCTATACGATAGTCTGCTTCGGCTTGGGATGCCACTCGGAGTGACCCTCGTCGCCTACGCTGATAACATGGCGGTGGTCGTTACGGAGAGGTCCCCCGATCTGGCGCAGCTGGCGTTGAACCAGACCATGAGACAGTCAGATGATGGATGACAGACCACGGACTACAACTCGCAACGGAAAAAACGGAACTGATGTTTCTCATGAGAAGACGCATATAAACGATACTGCACATGAGGGTGGGGACATGCGAGATAGAGACCAAGAGGGAAGTCAAGTACCTTGGGGTAACCCTCGATACGAAGATGACTTTCTCACCTCATATACAGAAAACAACCCGGAAAGCGGCAGAGAGGATAGCATCCTTGAGTCGCTTGATGGCAAATACGACGGGACCGAGATCGGGAAAACGACGACTATTAATGGCGACAACTCACTCGATCCTTCTATACAGCGCGGAAATATGGGCAGAATCCCTGAAGACAAAAAAATACTGTAAGACGATGATGATGGTACAGAGACAGGGCGCACTGCGAATCGCTTGCTCCTACCGAACAGTCTCTGCGCAAGCTGTTTTGGTGGTGGCTGGCGTAATACCCGTGTATCTTCTGGCCTTTGAACGCAAAAGGATCAACGGGAGCAGCGTGGACATAGGACGAAAGAGCGCGGCAATCACTGAGCGTGACAGGACAATTGACATTTGGCAAGGCCGATGGACAGAG